TTCATTTTTTACGTTTTAACTACACGAAAGAGAATCCGTAGAGAATACGTAGACAAAAGATGCCATGTATGGACTTCTAGTGACTCTTTATTAATTTCCCACGTATCAACTATGGGCAGCCAATGTTTCTTTCATGCATAATTCATTACTTACGTAATTTCAGCAATATTTTTATAAATATATTTTCCATATGAGTCGCATGAGCAGCCGAGCAGGCAAAGGATTGCGACTAACAATTCAACGATCGCGGGTTCAAGTCTACAGTGCAGTGCACTCTTCAAATTTAATATACAAGTGGTGTAGGGTAAAACAATTATTTATTTGTCTTCAATTTGGTTACAGAACGAATTTCAGGTAAGCTAAGTAGTATATATTCGCAACAAAGCATATATATATGGGTACGTACGGAAGATAGACCAACCGTTTATTATAGTAAATTGACAAAGAAATCAATCTTGCCAAATTTGAACAACATAAGTTTATTTATTGGAATCAACACTATATAAGGATTCTCAAGAAATGCAAAATCTTCAAGGTCAAAAGACCTAACTGTTAATGTTTCACGATGAAAATTTGTTCATGATAGTCTACACAAATTAAGGGAAGAAAACTTGAACTACATGGATCCCACCTCATATTAAATTTCTCGCAGATAGTTTTAGCCCTTCAGAAAACGGTTTAATTTTTAATAATTTATGAAGAGAATTAATCCGTAGTAATAAACGAAATAAAAAACGAACAGTAGGTCTATTCTTTAGGTAAAAGTAAGCCCTTTTTGGGCGCAACGAATACACGAACATCAGACGGACAGAAAAGCTTAGCTCGATTCAAAAATGATTTCGATTCGATAACGGTCGATCTATCTCAAGCCCTTTAGAATGTTATCTACGTCCGCACAAACTTATTGTGCCTTGTGTGTTGTTGAGTGACAGAAGAAAAGTAATGTTTTATGATAATCAAATAGTACTCTTAATAAGATATAAAATATTGCATGCGAAATTTTTCTCGCATGCACGTAAAACTGTCAAAACTGATAAAACTGCTTTTCCCAATGTGCTAACTATAGACCACCAGAAGAGTTGTAGTTAATCTTACATTATGACTAAATTACGTACTTTCAACGAACACATTTTAATGCCAATAGCCAACGAAAGTCATCTATTTCATGAATATCTACAATTTCACATCAACTACTTCAGAAACTAACATTTTTATGTAAATCCATTCCGGAAATAAAATTTAAAAATTCCTCATATATATTTATAATTAAGTATCCATTATTTATACATACAGTGTAGTATAAATTAAAAAAATCACATACTACGCTATCATCGTTAAAGCAAAACGGAACAAGAAATAATAAAATATCTTGACACAACTGAATATAATATTGGTCTTATCGACGACACAACACAATTAATCCCTTTTACTAAACAAGACAAAAAGAAGGTAAGTAATATGTTATTATCTAAATAATCAAGTAATGTTGAGAAATAAATAAGTTAGCAAAAACTTTCTTCCCAATTAAATCTCCCTTTAGATTGGACTCCATCATCTCTGTAAATTCGATTTGTTTAAATAGTTTGACGCTTACCCATCTCGTATTCTCAACTGTCAAATATGTTCTCCCGCACCATAATCAATCAATAAAGCATAAACAACACAATTCTTGTAATTAAGAAATAATTTCAAATAAATCCAGTTCATGGTCAAGTATTCAAATGATAAACTTTAGGCGGAATGATTCCTTCGATTACATTATGTTACTTGGCACTAAAGAAACATCGAAACTGCATGCGATGCCTCAAGTCTTACCCGAAAATATGTAACATGTATTGTCAACAATGTAAATTAAAATAAATTGATTATCACAGTTGGATTTCTACACAAGTTTCGAATGTCAAAAGAGACTTTGACCTATGTTTTATAAGTAGAACCTACCGACAATTGGTGATGGGGTTTGAAGGCTATCAATTGGCTAGCGGGTAGAAATTTGTACTTAAACATTGCCCAGGGCACATATCTGATTGTTGCGGAAATTTTCCGGTTTAATGTTTGATGAATCAAAAAATGGAAGAAAAACGTTGCACGGAATGATGGTGGGGGAGTTAATCTACATACATACATGTTTCTTCGTTTCGTTTTTTTCTCGTAAGGTGCACAGCTACATGAAAATTATGGCAGTAAATTTATGACTTCTTGGATCAAGGCAAATAACTTGGACACTTAAGTCCTTATAAAATATAATTATGTAATCGTTAACGTATTTGTATATAAAAATGTGTATGTTCACGGGACTTGCTGATGGGGCATAATAATTTCTACAGATGTCTAAACTTTTTCAAAGCAAAAAAAAAAAAAAAAAAATAAAACGAAAATCTTGATAAAAAAAAAGTTCAAAAATAATATTCCCCATAATATTCCTATGCACTTACATCAAAAACCTAAAAAATTCGAACATTTGAAATCAACTTGAACAAAGTAAGATATATCCGTTTGAAAAATCGATCCGCGATATGAATCAACTGAAGCTAGAAGGGAAGAAAAAAAACAAAAACAACCATTTAAAGAAAAATTGTAGCAATGGGTCTTACACGCATATAAGGGAAAATTGTCAATGCAATCATTTTTTTTTTTTTTTTTTTTTTTTTTTTTTTTTTTTTTTTTTTTTTTTGCTTTATTTTACGCTTATAATATGGTTTCTAAACGTATAGACAATATTTTATTTGCATATATAACTAGTTTTATAACTAAAGAATAATTATAATTGAATTTTCTTCGGCGAGTAATTAAAAAAATTCAAGAAAAAAAAAACAAACTACCAATTATATAAGTATCCGAAATACATAAACATTTATTAATACACGCGTACATGTCCGGTGTTATGAATGAATAAATTAAAAGCGACAAAAAAAAAAAAGAAAAGTAAGTAAAAGTCTAGAAGTAGAATCGCTACAGTTTTTGAATTGTATTTGAGTTATTTGCCGATCGAGGAAAGTAAAATAAAATTAAAAATAAAAGAAAAAGAAGGGATTTTATGATTTAAGAAGCCGTGTGTTGTCGATATACGATACTACATTGTTCTGTGTGAAATGAATGAGTTGCAAGGAAGGAGTTGCATGCAAGCAAGCAAGCAAGCGAGCTTCTCTTTCCTTATGAATATTTATGAATCTTAAAAATCAAGGTATGGGGGGTGGTTTTATGAAAAAGTGGTTTAGATTAAAAATATAACTCCTCTTTTTTTTTATATTTTTCTTTTTTAGTAGATGTTTAATTATATACACAAATTTAAGGTTCAGTTTAAACAACTGTTAAAGACCAGAAAAAAAAGAAGAAAAAGCGATTACTAATTTAGTCATCCATACTCTCGTGTCGGTCAGGTGAGGCATGTCCGTTTTTCGGTGATATCGAACGCGACCTGGAACGTGATTTGTTATCGTTTGAAACGGAACGATCGCTGAAAGGATGGGGAGAGAGAAAAGAAAAAAAGCAAACATTTTTTATAATAATCAGCAGAGCAACGCATAAAGAAACGATTTTGAAAGATTACGAATTAGCGGAATTTCTGTATTAACAGGAAGGCGCCATAATGAATAGTAAGTAAAACCAAAATGTAATTTTTGTGATTTGTTTAAAGGTTAATTTTTGTTAATTGAACGACAAATTCAGTAGAATGTGGGAGGAAAATAAGTGTTATTTGTGCAAGAAGTGTTTGTTGGTGGTGGTGGTGGTAGAGTGGTAAGCACAAAATCAGAAAAGTAAAACAAAAAATATTCATTTAATAAAATCCCACTCAATTTGTGATAATAATAATGCATGTTTACAACTTACCGGGAACGGGAGTCCCTGCGTGACTTGGAGCGAGAGCAAGAGCGTGATTCTCGTTTGGAATTGGAACGGGAACGTGAATCGCGTTTTGGCGAGCGAGAACGGGAACGGGAATGAGAACGAGACTTAGATTTGGATTTGGACACCTCACGTGATTTACTATGCAATGCAATGGACAAGACGACAATTAAATATAAATAAAAACGAAACGAATATCTCTTACTTACTTGGAACGTGAACGCGAACGTGATTTAACTGGGGACTTTGACTTGGAGCGCGCTCCACGAGATTTCGATCGGCTGTGAGACTTGGAGCGAGAACGAGAAGAGCGTCGTGATCGAGATCGTGTACGTCTACGAGAACGGGAACGTGAACGTGAACTCGACGATCCGGATTGTCCACGTCCCCCACGTCCACCGCGACCGCTGCGACGATCACCTACCAAACGTATACGACGTCCATTCAAATCGGTATCATCCAGCTTTTCAATAGCCGTCTTCATGTCAGATAATGAAGCAAATTCCACCACACTGCAAATCGATAATTATTAATGATTGCTGATGATATATATTATATATTGAAATATAATGTATATTTACCCTTCATTGCGTCTTTGTTTGTGAGCATCAGCATACGTAACTTCGCCTGCTTGGCGCATATAGTCCTTAAGGTCCTATTGAAATTTCGCCAACATCACACAGAATAACCAAGAAAAAGAAGCGTGGAAAATTACGATTGTTTAATATGAGAAATCCTTATTAAATGGAGAGCAACACATCGAAATACGCATGCAAATATTTTAGCATCTCTTTCCTGAGCAAATCCTTCCACCATATATTTCTCCCATTAAGTCTTCTAAACACAATGGTCAGTTGTCTAAGGGTTTCTGATCTGATCTAAGCCATGGGGATCTGGATAAGCCACGAGACCACAAAACTTCTCTCACTATTCTTCGCTTTGGCACTTTGTTAGATATATGTTGCTCGAAATGCTAAAACATTTGCTTGCTTTTTTCTAGTGTTTAAACTCGCTTGCATTTAGTTTCTAAAATATTCGTTTTGTAAGTATAAAGAGAACAATATACATTTTTTTTTTTTTTTTTTTTTTGGTTTATAGTTAGTTTAAATAGTTCTTACTTATTATTATATCATCTTTGTTTTAATTTCATTGGTACCGAAACTAAATGACCAAAAAATCGACCAAGCAATGTTTTTATAATTTGGCCGACTTTCTCTATATGCAGACTTAGGAGTGTTTTTAGCTAAACAGGCTTTGCTTGAAGAGCCAGTCAATTGAGCCCAGTTTAAAGTGCATCTTCATGTATTTATTTTTTTTTTCGCAATTTTCGTTTTAGCCTTATTTAAAGTGAGAAAGTCAGATTCAAGCTCGTCATCTTATTATCATCATCAATCAATTTGTCGTCTTCAGTTCCCTTAATTGAGAGAGAAGTGCAAACACCGAGTCGCTTTATTCCAAACGATTTTGTTTTGTTTAGTTTAATGAGGAGGGGAATAAAGTAACCAATAGCTTCGATTGCCTATTTTTAGCGTTGCCCGAGTTCAATGTTACGCCAGTTCAATCGTTCAAGAAAGCTTTAAAAGAAAGTGATCGATTTTTAGGGGGAGGAGAGTAAGACGTCGATTGTTGGCGCCATTGCCTTTCACTGCCTTATGAAGTGTTCTAGTGCCAGTAAAACTGAATGCTTGAGAAACCTATGTTAGATAATCATTGCGATTGGCTGGGTGGTGTTGTACAGTGTATTTTAGGAGATCCAACTTTCGGTTTAGATCAATCACAGCTCGCTCAGGACACCGTACCGGAGCTTACTGGAAAATAAAAAGAAATTGCACTACGCCTCAATAGGAATTGAGGATACAGTAAAAGATAGGCTTGTGATAAAAGCTCCTTAACGACTGACACGCGTAAATCATCTCGTAGACGAATGATGAATGTTGGCCGTGTCATTGAGCAGAATATTAAACGCCAAGGCTCGTCTTGAATGCACCAGACTTTTTTTTCAATACGGACTTGATGACCATTGACCCATTTATCATGATGAGCGTGGAATTTCGAAAATGCACTGGCATTCATTTCACTGCCTCAGAATTAACGAAAATATGGACCCGTTAAGACCGTTAGATTACGGGGGAGAGAGTTCTTGATATTAGCCAAATTAAACGGAGTTCAATGACCCGATTGTCTGACTTTTGCACATATACCACATCTCCCTTGCTTTGGCAGTATGCATAGATCATCGATCATCGCAGAGGTTGTCAGTTCTGATCCAAATCAGTGAACAAATAAGATTGAAGTACGCATTTAGATCTCGGCACTTGCGCGAAAAACAAATTTTAATATTTCTAAAATTAAATTCATTTATTGATATTGATTAATTAAAGCTCATTGTAATTTGTATTTGTGTTATTTTAAGTACCTAGGTTAACGATGATTAACGACTCAACACTGACGTATAAAAAAAACAACTTCAGCATTTCAACATAATTATACCGTTAGAAATTCACAACGGGGTAATTTTTTTCACAGCACCTGCGAACCTACAGATGCGTTCATAAAAAAGTATTACTGCTGAAGTTGTCTTTTCTACAAGCAAGTGACTTCGGTCTCTGGCTTCTGCGTTGAGTATAGAGTTTGTTGTTTGCAATAATCAAAACCAACACACATCTTAGAAATGGGAAACCCGTGCTCTAGATTGGCCGACAATTTCTTTGTGACAGCTTTTACATGTGCAGTTAAGGCAGGCTGATGATTATTGATTACAAAACGACATCAATTTTATTTCATAGTTCCCATTATGTATTTAGCTTAGTAGGCTTTGCTTTTTCTCCCAGATTTATTTTTAACGCGGTTAAAAAATAACCTCTTCTTGTGAGCAAGTCGAAGTGGTGGGTTTACCAGTTCTTCATATTTTTTTTTATACGGATTTATTTGAATTTAATAATCTGATCTCTATATATCTTTCTCTGTCTCTCTCTTCTATTGGCAAATTGATTTATTACAAAAAAGGTCTCTGTCTGCCTCGCTTAACTTTCACATATACATACACATGTACAAAATCCAGGGGGAATGAAGTAGAAATTATACCCTTGCCTCATACACAGTTCAAATGTTTAGTCGTCGGCGTCATCGCTTGCGCACCTACTGTTTGTTTTTCACTGTCTTACTCTGGCACGCAGAGAGGTTTCTCCCTCAGCGAATATAGGTGATGACGTGCCCTGGTTTGTAGTGGCGCGTTCATTTGTTTGCATCGCGCATAGTACATCACACATACATTTCACAAAATGAAGCAAAGAAATAATTGGCAGAGTAGGTGGTAGGAGCAGAGCGATAGTTGGGGGAAACGATAATACAACACAACAACCGGTCAGTTTTGTTTTGTTTAACATTTTCGATTTTATAAATGTAAAGTTACATATTTTTTTTTTTTTTTTTTTTGCATTTTTAATTTACACGTAACAAGTAGTGGTAACAAGTCTAGTTAGTTAAAATTTTTCCGCCAATTGTTAAATATTTAGTCAAAAATATTTAACAAAAAGTAACAAAAAAAAAAAAAAAAACCAAAGAGAACCATAACAGAAAAGAAAACTTGACACAAGGAAAAACAACAAAATACAAAATTAAAATTTTTGAATCGTTAAATAAGGGAAAATATTTATACATTAGAAAGTAGAAAGGGTTGCACAGAATTCTTTTACTTTCTTTTTCGGTTCCGGAGGAAGGAGGATTAATAAACAAAGAGCAACTGTTAGTAAATAGATGTACATATTAAATATATGCAAAATATTTTAAAAAAAGCTGGAATGAAAGCTATTTGAACAGACTAAGAAAAGCTATCCTACCCATTCGATCCTCAAATTTCATTCTTTATGGCGAGTTGCTACCGCGATCAGTTTAATGGTGTTGGGAGCAATTTGCAAACGGAAAGGATGATCTCAATTTACGTAGAAGTTAGCATAAAATATTAAATTGGCCAATATTGGATTTATTTGAAAAATTAAGCAAAACACGTCTTATACTGCAAACGATTTTTTGCTGGCTTTCTATAAACAATAATTGAGTTCATGGATTTGATCAAAGGAATGAATATATATATTCTAAGCTTAGAAACCCCACACTTTTCAGACGATGTGGTACATAATATAGAGTGCGCACCCTTTTACTGACGTTGTCGTTAACTGCCGCATGGTAGCATTCGCTTTGAGAAGTTTTGCATCTCTTCAAGTTTAAAGAAATTTTATATATACGTCTAGTAAGGAGATAAGCTTATAAGTTCTGCTTTTAAAATCTTCTCTGGAGAGCAGTTATTATCAACATCCACCCTTGATCTAACAAACAAGCTTGATAAGTTTTTACTCTACTAGCAGCTAAATGAATCATTCAGCAAACGACAGTTGAATTCATATCTTTGATAAGCATGTGAAGTTCCTATATCGATCTCTCAGTGGTGTTAAATGATAACGACATATCAACTGGACATTTATGTCAAAAAAAATAAAGAATTCTCAAATCTACTAAAGTACAATATTTGCATATATTTAATAATCTACAAGGCCAAATAAATATATAATTCGGCTTTACTTTGTCGAAATGTTAATCTATTTTACAAGGAGTTATTAAGCAATTATAGTAAGTTTCATTCAGTTGCTTCTTTTTTTTAATTAAGTTTCGCTTTCGTATATTTTTTGTGTCCGACTTAAAACATATTAAGCGAAAAGTACTGTTTAAAGACTTTTCAAAAATAAAACAAAAAACAAGAAAAACACTACTAGTCACTTGTCTTTATGGATCAATAAAATAAAGTACAGTCTCATATAATAAAATGTGTACATACCTGCCAGCTGACACGACTAGACAAATTCTCCACAATAAGTCGATATTCTGTGCGGAGAGGCGGGCCATAACGAGACGAAGATCTTGAATTTTTGTTTCTGAAGGACAAGTGAAAGTCGTTTAAGAAATGTAATATATATTAGAAATATGCATGATAATGGCAACTTACTTGTCGTTATAACGACCACCACCACCGCGTCGTCCACCATAACGATCATCATAGCGGTCTCGATTACTGCCTCTAGCGGTTCCTCTAGCTGGTTCTACAACAACCCTAAAATATTAATAAGTAATATGTATTTACATGTGTAAATCTTTATTAAAACAATTATCTTTTAAATTACCTTTCGCCCAGTAACTCTTTCCCGTTTAATTCATAAACTGCATCATCGGCATCACGATAGTCTTCAAATTCCTACAAAATATGAAATGACAATTATGCGCAATCTATAAAAACCCCATTTAAAAGATAAAAAATGCAAATATCGATTTTTCTTAACATGGCGAGACTCACCACAAATCCGTAGCCATTTTTAATTAAAATATCCCGCGTGCGACCGTATCCTTTAAAAAAACGCTCCAAATCACGTTCTCTAACGCCGTATGGCAAACCGCCAACATATACACGTGAACCAACCATTATTTATTTTCTTAGCTGAAATCACAAAATAATGCACACGCTATTAACAAGCTTTTTTACACAAGCTAAAAAAAAAATTGCAATATGGCGTCACCGGGTACACATTTTTTCTTTCATGTGAATTTTTCAATTCAATAAATGCCTTACTTACTATTCAAATAATTAATTTGCCTTACCTTTGGGATTTCTAAAATAGATTTTTCGCTGTAGCTGAGTGTTTTTTATTACCCTCGTATTTAATGCCCGAGTATTTTACTGATTTCTAGCTCACACAAAACCTTAATGATCAATGCACAAACGATGTATAAGGCGGAAACGAAAACTTTTCATTCCATAAAAATGGCGCAAACTTTTATCACCGGAAGTGTTTGGAAACTCAATTTCATTACATGGCGTCTTCATTTGTCATCTGCAACGACAAGTATATGGAAGACATAGAACCAGCCGTTAATGTCAATGTTCATTAAATTATTTATTAAAATTATTATTATAGCGATCAAAAAGAATTGCAAATGCGACTTTTTCGGTCATTTTCCCTATCACGATTATAATATTGATTATAA